TGCTTTATGAAGATTATAAAAAGAGCGATGGATAGATACAAGAACTTGGAACGCTAAGATAATAGAAGTTAAAACTGACAAAAAACAAAAACAGTGTTTGAAATCTCTATACTAGGTCTTAATCAGTACTTGAAATTTTATAGTTAAAATAACAGGCCCTATTTTGTTAATAAATTAGGAAAAAAATACAATCCACTCTATGTATTCGGCACCTTAAGGTTTTAAAGCACATGACATAAACGAGAACGAGTGCTGAAAGTAATCGCAATTTAAAAGGGAGTACCCCAGAAAGCATTTACTCTAACCGCGTACTGGGATCTGTTCACGCCCCTCTTAGTCCCTTATTGAAAAGAAAAACCCCACTGGCTCTTCATTATTTGTTATTAATCATTCAGGGTTTAGTAAACTTGTTAGCTAGCCTCTCTTCACTTTTGCGATGACCGTCTGCCAAGAAACACTGAACTAGACATGATGTAATAATTAACTATCAGTTCTTTGCAATGCTTATGGGGAGAAACCCGTCGGTCACCCTATAATCCTAACTGGATAAGAAAGAGATTTCATCCATGAGAATGGAGCAAACGCAAGAAAAAGAGCGTTATATTTTACTCAGGTCGGAAAAAGTCCATAACTGATTGTGATTTCGATTTCTTAAATAATCGGACATCCGTTGGTGCATAATAAAAGTCTATTTCTAGCATTTTTTGTCGTTCATTCACTCAAACCTGTCATTTAATTATATTTTCAAATGTTTACCCCTCTTTTAAATCATCACTAGCCCCTTTAAGATTTGCAGTTACCTACCTGCTTTTCTCTGGTGTCCATACCGTAAGCTTTCAGGTGCTGGTCTTGTTCCGTAAGCGAGGTATGTAAAGATCTGATCAGTTTCTTCTTTGCTTTTATAAGAAAACGTTACTCGAGGGAAAAAATAGAGATTTAGTGTCGATCATGTCAAAGTCTTTAATTGTTCTCTAAAGGGAGAATTATTCAACATAAGGGAGCAAGCCCAAGTCTGTCCAAGACGATATAGAGGTTATAGCAATGAAAAAAAAGAGGGTGACTAGTACATACTGGTTCATACTAACTATAAACACTATTTTAAGAATGAACTAGCAGAGATAACCTGATCCCAGCTAAAGATGACTTTTTATTAAAACTTGAGACATCCATGACTTAAAAATGATTTATTTCAAACCAATTTTAACCATAAATACAAGTCCTTTAGTATTAATGATAGAGTAGAAGAACTATCCAGAAAGGGCACAGGCTAAATTAAAAAAGAACACGCAATGACTGTATATTTCAATACTCTTATGTTATCCCTACTGATGTGCTACTACTAACATCTTTAGGGTTAGTATGAACTTATTTTAAATATTGTTTCTATAAAGAATTATTCGAGTAGTTCAAAAGAGTATTGTTCACTAGAAGGAATATTATTTAAATCATTTTCAAATACTTCGTATTTCCTTAGGTATTGTGGTTTATCTGCTGAAACATCCTTATCGAATAAACTAATTCAAACCTAACCAACGTCATCTCTTAACTAGCGTTGTTAAAAGCCAAGTAATTAACGACTATAGTAAATACCACCAAAATAATTAAACTCTTCGAAAACCCCTATTTAGAATAGAAAAAAGCTTTTCTCAACGTTGTTCCGCCATTCCTGTAGGAGTAAGCAACCTACCTCATACAGCGATTACAGCATATTGAAGTTTTGGTCCTCATTTAAGAGTCCTTTAAGGGCAAATGTGTAGGTTGAGCTCTTAGTGGGAGCTCTAACTTATAGCTAGCTTTCTCGGTAACGTTCTTATTAGCACTTACGCTCTTGGGTGTAAGGATCGATTAGCTTGTTCCCAGGCCCATGTCGTACGGCTGCAAAAAAAAAATTCAGACCTATATGCAATACGCGGTGGGCCAAGGGCCTAAGGTTGGTAACAAGTTGCCGTTCTGAATGTAACCTTAGTTTAGTTCATGTCACCTTAGGAGTCTGAGGTGCCATACTTGAATTTCCTTGGTTTTCTCTATACCTGACGTCCGATGAAGACACAAAAACAGCTGTCGCCTGCTATCTTTGCCGTTTAAAAACGGTTATTCTAGCGCTAAAGATAAGGCACTATTCTCTCCTATCAGCTTGCTCTTCGATAACTGCTTTCATCTCAAGTTGCCCCTGAGGGCCACGAAGTTATTGGGTTGGGCGTAGATAATAAGGACGCTCACATAGTTTTACTATGAGCTGCTGGATTTCCTGAGGTGGTGCTCCTTGCTTTGCATTCCCTTTGACGGTCCCCTTCCAGCTCGATAAAAAAACCATTGTTGTGCTGTCACCCAAGATGCACTGCCCATCTAGACCTCTGCGAGAATTGCCCTACTTTTTATTGTTAGCAGGAGGCAAACTGTCGAGACTTTTCCGCTACGGAGATTAGCAATTAATGCATCCAAGTAGTATTATTATAATATAACTTGGAAAAACTTTTTCTAATCCGCATTCTCTCATTAAATCAAACCGCCGTTTCTTGCAGTAAGAAATTTAAATACCTGCGGGGCGGTAATAGGCGACAGAGTAAGCTAGATTCTGCATCTTTCTTACGTCGTTACCAAAACCAGTTAAGCCCTAGCCGTTTTATACCCTTTTGCATGTAGGAAAAGCAAACTACATATATAAAAACAAACTATATTTATGCAAATCTGCTCTGAGTCCGCTGATAATCTACGCCTCTCTGCCTGGTTTATTACTTAAGCAGCACATACGACTACAGGTACTTCCTTCAAAGATGGAAGTGGATGCCCTTTGGTCTGGGCGCAACAACCAACTACATCGAGAGTGCAACCTTAAGCCTACTCAAGCATATTTTATAAAATTTCACAAAGCTGACTTACTAGGGCCCAGACAGGCTCTTCATCAATGGTATAAAAATTTCACTATGATAATATAATGTGTTACTATTTTTTTTCATATTGCTGGTGCTTCTTTCTTAATGTATGATGAAAAAGCGCGTCTGTTCTTGTTATGACGCAATAAATCATTAATGTAGTCGTAGCCCAACACCAACACTTAATAGAGGAAATTACGCCTTCAGCATACCAGTGTTACAAATACATAAATAAAACATCCCGTTAAATACCTCGGCTACGCTATTAATAAAGCAAAGACTTTAAGAAGTGCTCTCTACCTCCCAGAGCCTTAATAACAAACTGATACTAAACAAAATTTAGGTTTGGCCGATATACTACCAAATTAACTTTCTTGTTATGCTAACCAAGGCGCCATGGCTCGTTCTCACAAGCTACTTCGGGGCCTGTCAAATAATTTAAGCAGCTAACATAGGAATTTCCTTCTGTCCTAAGCTAAAGCTTGAGATTTGGACTCCAGGCCAGCACGAATGTCCCAAAAATATTTTAACGGAAACCTATAATTCTAATATTAACAAAAATAATATTAGCAACATTAACTACAATAGTTAAATAATACTTAATTATATAACATTATTTTAAAATTAAGCGAATAGCCTCTATAACTTGAGTCATTAATAAGAAATAAAGACCAGCTTTCGTTTTAATTTATTTTCCTTTTAAGTTAAAAGCTCTCACCCTTCTCGCATAGTGTCTAACTACAGCGCCTAAAATGGTAACGAAGAACAACAAGAATTACACCATCAACAGTTCTATTGCGTTGCGCGTTCCAGATATACAAACTAACACGCATTGGATCAACTACCACTCAAAAGTCCCCTTGCGCAAGCTTCAACGTACACAAGAAAAGCAGTCCTTGCGGGCCCTTTATAGAAGCTATTTTTTAATCACATGCTAAGGTTATCTACGACCGTTCAGGAACATTCGAGAACATTCAACTAACCCAAATTAGCAAAACACTAAATGGTCCGCTCGTGTAACAATTTTTAAAGGGGGACTTCGTATTATGCAATAAAGAAATTATAAAACTATTTTACAGCAAAAAGTTATATAGTTTTACTACAAACCAGTGGTGAAATCTTATTTTACTTGCTGAGCTTATAAAATTCCTTGCTGCACATAATTCTAATAACTGTATCAGCAATATTTTTAGACAAATTAATTTTTATAGTTAATATTTCTAGAACTCTCACATGAAAATACTGCAACTAATAATTATTATAAATCTTTATTTTAGAAGTCCAAAATTTTAGATGTCTACATTATAATATTTTAAACCTTCGTTGCTTAATTTTACAAAAATTTAATATAATAATGGACTTAAGCTGGACCCATTTACAATAATAGTTGTTACTATGTGAGGCTCTCTAATATATTCTTATAGCTAAGGGTTCTTCTTAATTCGTTACAAAGCGTGTAATTTTAAGATAAGAAGACTCAATACTGCATATCTGTTATACTTTAACACTCATGTTGCTACAGCGTTAATTGTACTACTTCAATTACTTACTTTTTAAGGCCTACATTCTTGTCTGTACTTTTTAAAGTTAAAAAACTGATAATTACTTAGTGGTCCAAAACAAAGAATTTGCCTAACGAACATGAAAAATTATTTTACGAACCGAACCTGAAATAAGAAATAATTATTACGCTGTATAAAGCTTCTTTAAAATCAAATAGAAGGTGAAAATATTCCCTTATATATCCCCAACTTTAAGCAATTTTAATTTTTATAAATAATTTGTCATAAAATATAATTTCATCACTCTTATTAGTAGTATACGTTTATAATACATTTAATATTGTGAACTTTACATAACAGTAGTCCGGCCCTTTTTTATTCCTTAAAAAAAGCTCTCTATTTTCTTTCTAACCTTTATTTTCGTATTAAAAATGGTTTTAATAATTGATAAAAATCACTTATTGATTTAACTTTCCGCCCTAAAGTCATAACTTCGTTGTATAGTTACAATCATAAGAAAGCTGCTTTGCTAAAGGCACGTGGTGAAAAATGGAATAGGGCGTTAGAGAAGGCATCGGGGCAAAGCGTGCCTCCCTTTCACTTCTCTTTGCTTCTGCACCCGTCGGCTACTAGTTTTATTAAATAGGTGAGTTTTGTTGGTAATTTCTACTTTTCTTGTTGTCTATCTATTGCTAAAGCGTAAGCTGTTTAATAAAAGTTATAATAGGTATTCTCTTTCATAGATTTACTTATTAGTAGTTCTTAAAAGTGAAAAATATTAACGTATTCTTAACATCTTTTATATAAATATTTATATTAATTTATTATGAAACTTGCACTATCTCATCTTTTTGTATTTAATTTTTTAGTTTTTTTTAGATATATATATTTTATCATGTCCACCAAGCCGAGAGTTCAGAAAGTCAAGCTTCCTCCTATACGTCTCATTTTTAGATTTCTTCAAAAGAAAGCTCGAGTTCAGGTTACACCATTTCTATTAGCTCATATATTTTATAATTATTGAACTGTTCCTTTTTCAGGTTTGGTTATGTGAACAAATAAATATGAGAATTGAAGGCCAATTTGCTGGATTTGATGAATATATGAATCTAGTGATTAACGAAGCTGAAGAAGTTAACTTTTCTTCCTTTTCTTTGTTCTACTTTAGTAGTTCTATTTAGTCAGCTGTTATTTCCAGAGATGGGGTTAATTTGTTTTGTTCTACTAAAGTGGAACATTAATTGGGGAGTGAACCCTCTTTTACAATAATTCTTAATAAAAATAATCTATTGTAACAATGTGATAACATATAACATAATGCACAAAACGATGCTAAAGTTACTTACTTTGATTATGAATCTGGTTAACTTTTAAGTAATTTTTTTACTTTTTATTATATATATTTTAGATTTATTTGAAAACTGGTGTTAGACGGAAAATTGGCACCATTATGCTAAAGGGCGATTGTATTACACTTATACAAAACGCTAATCCTGAAGATAACGATGATGACGAATAGTTTACTTTAGAACATTTCTTATTTATTTTTTTTCTGGGTTTAATAAAGCTGTAAATGATACTAAATTTTTCAAATTAATTATTAAGAAATTTTTCTCAGTAAGCCTAAACATATTTGCTAACTTTTATTAATTTATAAAAAATAGTTAATATTTGTTGATTCTCTAAGTTTGAAGTGTACTACAATACAAATAACGAGGAAAAAATATTATATTAACATAATTAACAAATTTTGATTAATTGATATTATTAACGTAATGAAGTATACAATTCAAGAAAGCTACAATAAATAACAATATACTTTAACATGATATATAAAAATAATTATAAAGAGAAAACTAATATTAAAATCAAAAGAAAGGCAATTTTAATGTTCTATGTAATAATTTATTTAATATTTATAAAGTCAATATATAATTATATAAAAAAGTATATAAAGTTTAATATATACCAAAATATGATATATTTATATATAATAAAAGTGTGAAAGCCTTACACATTGCTTGTATACTACACGTATAACTATGCAAAGCATTATATCAATTACTTTATAAAATTAAAAGAATAGGCTATTTCAAATATTTTATAAAAAAAAATATTAAAAAATTATATAAAATCAATAATTATAAAAGTTTGGTATATACACTAAAATATAATATATATAATAATAGTATGCAAGTCTCACACTTGTTGCTTGTATTTATCATGTATATCTAAAAAGCGTTATACATACATAACAACTACACCTTATGTGGTATAGATGGACAGTTATTATTTATTGTATTGAGCTTAAATAATATAAAAGTATAAATAAATTCCTATCTAAAGCGAAAAAGCTGCTACCAATGAGTACTAGGACCAGGCAGCACACGCATTTGTCACGAATGACCGGATACACATTACGTACTCACACAGCAAGAAATTTTGCTTTTAACGCAAAGTTGACCTTCTCCGATATAGTTTACGTGACGAGCGCTTATTGTAGGTGATGACTCAAATATTTCGCGCGTGGGTTTACCTTCTCTTCGTGGTAAAAAGGGTAATGCTTTTTTGGCAATTAAAAATAATGTTTCAACGACGACACCGGTTGGCAAGTGGGCATTAAATAACACTGCGCGACTTTGACGGGTAAAGCGTCGTATCGTTTACTATATGCAAGTTGCGTGCAAAGTATATAATAAAATGGTATGTTAAATAATTGAAGTTTCTTTACAGTTATCTCTTTATTTGCTATAAGTACTTTTAAAAGGTTAATTAAATATTTTAATATAGATGACTATTATAAAAGCCTGTATATAAAAATATAAGGTGTTTATATCTGTTTATATAAAGGTATCTGTTGCCTTCTGTTTCAAGTGTTATGGTTTATGAAAATCTTTTTTTTTAATACCACCTTAAATTACTGTGGCGTGAATGTAGTGTGTTTATAGGCTGCAACTTTTTTTTGTGTTAAGCGTTATGAAATTTAATACATAAGTTATGTATTAACTGATTTTATTTATGACTCATACTTGTTATGAGGTTTAGTAAATATATTGAAGGGCTCCTATTAACTTTTGTAAGATAATTGTAGTTTTTCTGTGTTTATTTATATGCATACGTTGTAAAAGTTTTCATGCTAAATGTTAATATTAAGTAATAACTTATGTTTAATTGTCTAACCCTAACTAAAGCTTTTACTATGCCTTTCAAAGTTTTTATAACGTTCTGGAAGACTGAGTTCACATGCTAGATCTTTAAAATTAACAGCTGATAGTAACTTTTTAATAATTTTTTTTCTCACTTTATAACTTGTTTTTATAATTTTTACTACTTTCTTTTTTTTTAATTTTCTTCAAATAGTTAGAGCTTTTTTAACCCTAGCACTAGTATAGCGTGATAGTCTGTGGTTACGTGTAAACATTTTATTGTTTTAAGTGTTATTAGTTTTGTAAGATTTTTTTTTTTCTTCTGCTCTCTTTTCTTTCTGTACGATGTAAATGATACTAGAAAAAAATTGGCGAAAGCAGTCAATAAGCGATAACTTTGTTTTTCTTATCTTATAAAAGACCAAACTCGGCTGTTGACACTACACTTCTTTAACCATGCCTCAAAAGGCACCATAAACATACTAAAAGAAATGCCTAGGAAAAATTGTTCAGTTATATAATAAACTTATTACAAGGCTGAACTTGCTTTACAATAAATACTTATCACTGTTATTATTATATTATAAATTTAAATTAGCTATGTATTACAAAGCGGGACAAGGAGAAATGCCCTATATTCGTAAGGCCAATGCTATGACGAGAAGGGAGGACAACCACATGTTGAGGAAGCATGTGGTTTCCGAAACTTAACAACTGCTTATTTTTATTGACTGGCCTTTAACATAATTTTACACGTTTACAACTTTTTATATGAAAATGTTTTCTATATTAACCATCCATGTGATGCTTTCTATTAAATTTTGATGGTTATTTTCCGTTTTCTGTAGAATAACAGTTTTTTTATAATTATTATTTTTTTTTCTAAAGAACCCCATAAAATTATATAAAATACCGCAAATGTCTTTCTTTTTATATAATAAAACTGAGCAGCCAGGACAGTTGTGCAAGGTTTCATGAATAAACAAATCGCACAACGTGCAGAAAATATTCCTGCATGACTTGCATAGAGAAACGCCCGCTTTCTGCTCCAACAAAAAACCACATGCACAACACGTGGCACTTACAATAGCAATAATGAATAATGATTATAGTAATAATATAAAAAAAGGAATAATGCAATACTTGAGGCAAAGCTCTTCTTTATAGTCTTCGAAAGGAGGAACAGGAAACAAATGGTGATACGAACTTTTGTAATAATAAGAAAAAGTTAATACCCACGGGGTAAAACCAAGATGGTAGGTTTTTACATTACCGCACTAAATTAATAGCTAATAAGCACCAAATTTAAAAAAAGTGTCTCAATTAGTGAACCAAAAACATAATACGTACCGAGCAAGATGCGAAGAGGACACGAGGGTCAGTCCACAAATGGCACATTCATAAGGAACGTCGCAATACTTGGAAGCGCACGTGGGGCATGTGTAGCCTTCCCGGGTGACTAAGCCGTGGCTGCAAAAGGACAGGTGAGATAACGACCGTTCAAGTCAAACTGTAACCAACAAGCAACACTTTGCAAAAAACTGAGCCAATATATATATATAAAGTGCCAGAATAATGATATACTAAAACTCGACTATAATTGGAGCGCACCAATAGCGCTCTGGTCTTTGTAATTTGCTCGTTACAGCCGAGTTAAACTGTTCAGTAAAAAAAAGCAACGCAGAAAAATATATTTATAAAAGTTTATTATTGAAAAATGTTTGGCTTAGCGCTCTTCATAGGAAAGCAAAAGTCGCGTAAAGAACAAAATAATATTATGGAATCACCAAGTACAAAGGTAACTTTTCTCGCTGGAAATACGCCTAGGAAAGCCCTATTATTATTATTATTATTATTATTATTATTATTATTATTATTATTATTATTATTATTATTATTATTATTATTATTATTATTATTATTGTTGTTGTTGTTGTTGTTATTATTATTATTTATAATTTATAATTTAAAATTCTTAACAAGAGCCAGAAGCGCAGGAGTGGCTTTACTTGATATGCAAGGAGGAGAAAGATAAAACTGAAGAACTTCTTTAAAGTGATGCTCGTGTAAAATAACATCGTAACGGCCTAACAATAATAATTAGTAAATAATAATAATAATAGTAATAATAATAATAATAATAATAAAGAACCGTGAGTAGCATCGGCAATGGTCTGGCAGATCTTCATATGAGCGCCGAGCCCCACCACTGAGCATGTGATTTCTGCCTCTCTACAGAAATAAGAATAATAGTAAAAACTAAAAAAAGTTTAATAAAAAGTATTACTTGACTTCTTTAATAGTAGAAAAAATATTCGAAGGATCACAAGAAGTCAAACTTCCAATAATCATAAGAACTTCACGAGACGTGTGCGATGGTACATTGCTAATAAGAAAAGTTTTAAGCAAAAATGATTGGAGTAAATTGATTAATCAGATAAAGTTTAATTGACCAATCAGAACAAATATTTTTATTAATAATAATTTAGGACTAAAGGGGGCACAATAACTCAATTTACGCCAAAACTAATTAAATTTATTTTAATTAAAAAAGAAATTAAGAATGAAAACTTAAAAATAAATAAAATAAATATTCGATAAATATGTTAAATGAATAAATAATTCTAATATTATTTGAAAAAGTGAAAATAATATATTTTTAATGAGATTAAAAAAGATGTTAAAAAAAATAATTATTAAAATTAAATACAAATAAAATTAAAAGAGACAATGTAATTTGCTCCAATTATAAAAGTCACTGGAATTTCTACACAAATGCAAAGAAATCAGATTAACTTTTTTTTATAGTTGTTTAAAAAGATTCACCGCAAAGAATGTTTTGAGAGAATTAGAGAATTCTGTAGGGAAGGAGGAGCGGCTGTACTCATCGCTGGAAGTTTTTCTCGCAAAACTTGTATATGATTTTTATAATTTCCTAAGAAGTTTAATATTTGCCTTTATTAAAAATTAGCTTAATTGTAAAAATTATAATATCAAAAAAATTTAAGTTCGCCAAATTTTGACTAAATTAACAATTAAAAAACAAAATCACTTTTTTAAGCCTACCTTCTTTAAAAAATGAAAAATATTGATTTTAAATTATTTAAATTTGTATTTACTTTTATTAATGATTTTGTTTAAAATGGTAATAAAATATTAAAAAAATAATAAAATACTTTAATTATATAAATACATTATATAAATATATTTAATAACGTACCAGAAAGTTCGGAGATAAAAAAAGCAGTGCCATTTTGAGTGCCGATGATCCCAATCTGAGAAATGGGATTCAGATCAAAAAATTCAGAGATAAAGGAAGCTAATATCTAAAAAAAATTAGGAATTTTAAGTAAAATAAGTAAAAACTTGTATATTATATAAAAGTTTGCCTCAGAAACGCATAATAGACGAGTGGGCCGCAGATCGGTGTCGTCCATGGCAGAAGAAAGATCAATGACGATATAAAAATGACGCATCATGCCTCGTTGGAGTTCTGGTGTTTCAGTTCTTAATCTCAAAAACACAAAAAATAATTCTAAACAAAAATGATAAATATGACGGGGATATAACTCTACCTTGAACGCAAGCGGTTCAATTCTCGATTTTTAACTTTATCTAGCAAAGTATGGGAAGGATCATCTTCAGTTTCCTCCCTAATAAAGACAATGTTTTATAAATTAATAACAAAAACTTAAAAAATATTATAGATACTAAAAATACTTTGGAAACATACCAAGTACGTTTATAAGCCTGTTCCCAGGTGTATCCACCTTCTTCCGTTATAAAATCAGACATGATTTAAGTAAAGCAACGGCACACTTTACCTCCCTATCTCCGAATAAAAAGATAAATAATTTAAGCATTTAGTCAAAATCCATATGTAAGTATTGCTACAGTCTAAAGGAAAAAGGGGTAATCATAAAGAAAAAGCTTTTAACAATATAAGCATTCGAATATTAATAAATAATGTAACGCTCAACCCTATATCTATGGTGTAAGGGCAAACAAAATTGCGTTTGGCAAAGTGTTCTTCTGCAAAGAAACTTAGAACCTTTATATTTCTGTTCTTGTCGTTATTATATTTTCATTTTGGTTATTAGTATAAGTGTCATATATTAATACAACTGCGTGTGACAAAGTGTTCTTCTGCAAGAAACTTAGAATGTCTGCTAAAACCTTTATATTTCTGTTCTTGTCGTTATTATATTTTCATTTTGGTTATTAGTATAAGTATCATATATTAATACAACTTTTTTAAATTGTAAGAATTATAAAATAAATCAAATTTACATATAGTGGCCTTACAAAATTATGATTTACAGCTATAAACAAAATCATTTAAAAAGAGTGTTGAAACTCTAAGAGCCTTCAAGTGCTGCGTTTGAGAGCAAGTCTTTATAAGCTTATACTTGCAATTCCTGTGAAAATTGTAACTCCGGAAAACTAGAACAAGTTACTCTTTAGGCTTGTAGTCTACTAGCACTGGCATTCTGGTAGGCCCACGCAATTAACGCGTAAATACCAGTCCAACTTAGGAATTAATAATTACCGTTTGTTTTTTAATTTAGCTAACTTTCACGAAAGGGGTGGAAAGCATCTCTTCTAGCTTTCTTTATATAAACGAACGTAATTAATGTAAGGAAGGCAAGTTTGATAGGAGCTAATCATATGCTGAAGTATTGAATAATTACGTTCCAAAATGACTTCCGCCCTTCACAGTGAAAAAGACATGCTTATGTGCACACTGCTTAAGGTTCCGTATGCACGTGGAGATCCCACAGGGTTTTAAATTTTGTAGACACTTACATCAATTCTGAGATTTAGTTTTATATTTTAAGACCTTTACGAATTAAGCAGGCAAGTTTGATCTTTTCAAATTGGAACTTTGCATCAGTGTTTAATGTTCTTTGAGCTTTATTGATCACATATGCAGATGATTTTCAAGTTTTACACAAACAACGAAGAGAATCTAAAATAACATAATCGAGAAAAGCAGAGATATTGAAGGTTACATTAAATTAACATTTAGTAGTAAACGTTTTATTGTGTCCCGATTTGTAATCTTGCGGAATGCTCAATAAATAACGTCTCTCTCTTATTTTAAAAGGCACTAACTACACGTATCAATATTAATTTTAGGAAATTACTGGATAGCAAATTGTATACTAGATTAGCCATTTCGATCTTCGTAAATAAGTTTTAGCAAAAGTTGAAAACATACAAAGAAATTCACTTAAGTGCAGCTTAAATGTGCTAAGATTTTTGAAAGAAACCCACAACTACGCTCTTCAAGCATCTTTAAAAGGAAACAATGAATTAAAAGCCTCTTCTGCTGCAGGCCACGAGGTTGAATCCGATTTGCAAATCTCGTTTGTTTGAAGATCTTAGATTAAAAACACTAGCTGTGGCCAAGCTTGCGCCAGAGAAGTTGAGTATGTTGCAATGGCTACTGTCTTCAATAATGTACTTTGGTTATAAACAGTCTTACTGAGGTTACGCCTTAAAATCAACCCATTATACGCATTAAAAATATTCTTTGACGTACGGAGATGCCTAAGCACGTAAACATTAAGTATTATCACATCAAAGAACGAAATTAAAAAGATCACTAATAATGTCGAGTGTTGTCCAAACTCCAAACTCAATTTCCACGCCTTTTTACAAAGTTACTTAATTCAGTGTAGATCAAAATTAATCCATGTTCTTATTTAAATCTCTGAATCAGAGTTGGGTTAATTAGATAGATAAACTTAGATTACATCCCTTTAGAACCCCAAGAAAAATGCATTTGCTTTTAAAAGAACCGCCCAGAATATTACCGCAAGCCACTACTTTGAGGAAAGAGAAGCGCTAGCAGGGGGTAGATGAAAATAGATCGCGCTATAGGTCCCATAGAGATAAATATTGTGCGAATAAATTTATATATGTTTTTGTGCATATATTATTATTTATCGCTACATAAACGAGTCTTAGACGGTGGCCCTAGTTGGCAGCAACATTAGTCGGTGTCTCCAGGAAACCTCGGGTCTCGTTACTGGGAATCACCTGATGTTTTAGCAGTTTTTTAGCAGTTTTACATCACTCTAGGTCATATGGTGCAAAGTATATCTGTGAAGTAAAAAATTAAAAATAAACCTAATTGCTATATTGCCTTTTTTAGACAGCTTGCTAGCTCGTTCTCACCTAGAAAAACTGAGTTTAACATGGTGGTAAAACGGGGTAACTGATTGTCAGGGCTTCTCCAAAATGAGTATACTTTGCGAGCGGAATACCAGACTTCCATTACTGTACTACCAAATGGTCATCCACTCACCGCGCTTGAGCAGCGGATGGCGAAGGCACATTTTTATTATCTGTGACAAGGCACTTGACGCCTATAGGCAATGTGGCAATTTTTGGTGGGTCGCGCTATGCGCTCTAAAAGGTTTGTTAATTCTAGCGCACGAATAATAACTTGAAAGCAAATACTGTCCGGTACAATTCAGAACATTTTACTAATACTACAGGCTCGCGCACGCACTTACGAATGAAAGAGCTTGTATTAATTGCAGCCAACTACGAGGCTGTAGACTTGGAATTTTCTTCCCTTCATATTTGCTTTTAATCTCTTTGTAGGCACGCTTTACTCATATTTATTTTATCTAAAAGTCCTGCCAACCAAGACACTAGTCAAGCTCTGGTACAAGCGCAGGTTAATTAATAAACCACCCATTCCTTTCTCTGCCCCTCTTACTAAAAGGCGCTATATAGTTTAATCCCAGTGAACTACGCGTAGGAGATCCGGAAACAACTGCTGCATTAGAATTTTGGAAGACAAAGGGTACGCCAGTAAAAATGGGAGTAAATCAATAAAAGGTAGGATAACAGCTAGTTCAAGTACGTTTTATAGAAAGGTTGCCCCATGACATTCAAGCAATAAAAAGTCTAGCGCTTTCTTTTAAGCGGAAAGACATTACTACGCTCAGTTATTACAACCGATACCTTAGGCAGTTTATATCTCAAGAAAAGTTAGCGGAATTAGAGAAGTGCAAGGCGGTGAACAAGCATTATTAGGATTTGTATGTTTCAAAGATCAAAAATAACGGCGCACAATGGTCGAATAAGAGACAGAGACCATAAAACCCATAACTCTTAACCCAGAATATAATAGGAATAGTGGAAGAAAATTAAATGGGGATTGAAGTGTTACTCTTGTGGAGCGGTCTCACTATTTTAAAGATTGTAGTCTTTACAATACCAAAAATAAAGCTTCTACACTAATATGTCGCTGTTTCAAAATCTTCTAAGAATTATATTGATTGTTGAGTAGACCTCAATTGATCATCCCGAAGTAGAAATTGTAGAGGACAGTTGTGAAAGGGTTAATGTGTAAAGTATTGCTAGATTCTAGCTCCAGGAAGTAGTTTCATCTCTAGAAGCTCGCTGACTGGTTACTTTTTAGTTAAGGGGACATAGAAATGGGAAACAAAACTTTCTAGAGTTTAAAGGTGTGAAATATGCTTCCGTAGGCATTGCTTCTGCTAATAAATTTTGTAATTAAGTATTAAAAAAAATATTACTGTGTTAATAAATTCTGTGCCTCAGGGTGTTAATACACTGAAATGGTCATTTCGCGATCTTCGGTACAAGTTGGTAAATGAGACTAAGTCAGCCGTTAAGATTGTACCGTAAAATAGTAAACAGAAGACAGTTAAAATAAGTTATGATAGGCGCCTAACGGACAAGTATTTATAGATAGGGCGGCAGTAGTATGAGAATTTAGTGAAGTTAATTTAGAGAATTTAAATTAAAGTTAATATATATGGTGGAATGGGAGTGAGCGTCCAGGAGTCAAGAATTTGACTCGTCGTATATATAACTAAAGTGGGACCAGAATGTGAAAAGTATAATTAACTTTAAGTCATAACAGAGTTAAGGTGAAAGATACGATGTCACCTGTCTGGACTAAATGAGAATTAAAGGATAAAGTAAAGATAGCAATAATCATGAGAGAAGCGAAAAACTGTTTAAAGCTGGTTTTTTGGAAGAGAGTTCCGACTTGGATTTGAATCACATGTAAACTATAGTCGAGAAGTTCAACATCAAGGGAGCGTCAAAGGGTAAAATTCTGCGAGAACCTGAATTATAAGTGAGGATGTTTGACGCTCTTCAATGACTAAATAGAAGACATGTGATAGAGAGGTATATAGCGCCGAGTGAGTAAAACATTAATATTATGGTAGAGAAAAATTTATTTTAGTACTATCGATAATTTTAAAGGCTTCTTAAATCTAGACGTGTGCAGTGGGCGCCTCTGCCTTTTGGTTACATCAGCGCTCTCTTTGAGGGTATGAATTGTAGTACAAACGGTCTTAAAGAGACTTCCATTTATATTGACGACTACCTGGTGGAAAGTAACTCCAAAGAAGAACACATTAAGAGACTTAACTAACTGATTACTAAATATGAACATATTAACTTCAATTTGAGATTGGATAAAAAGTTGTTTACGAAACCTTCAGTTACAGGGTTTGTAAGGAACTAACCAAAAGGGGCATTAAATGAGTAAAGACCGCATACAAGCATTTATATATAGGACCAAGCCAAAAACAAGCAGGATTGACCAACTTCCCATAATCACTTAACTTTTGGAGTCAATATATCACTTATATTGCCATAATTACGGAACCCTAAATTAATATGCTTAAAAGGGAGCGAAATTTGAATGGAGGAAGGCAGTAAGAGTTAACCTGCTTTGACATGCTGAGAATTTGAAAAAAAAAAAGTGCTGGACATGTCACCTGTGAACATGAATTAGTGCTCCAAACAAATGCAAGCGACGTTGGTATGGAAGGCATTATATTGCAGAGATACCTTGGTGGAGTCTAATACATCGCCTATGTTATTACGAAATTTTTAGATGCCCAGGTTAAGTACAGCTTCACATATTGAGAAGTCTTAGCATTTGCACGATGTACGAACAAAATGGATTACATACTACTGACTGACAAAGCATTAGTTGTAAAAAAGGAACATAAGGGTCTTTTAGGTATCTTTCACAACGACTGGGTGGTTGTTAAAGGAATGATTTACCGAATAAAGCAAACAATGGGAAATATATATTGTATTTTAAAATACATTCCGGGTAAAAGTAATCTATTTCAGACTTGATATCACGGTTACGATCGGCTATTCAGAGGAAGAATGAAGCTAAGTTTTGCCATCAAATAGAATCATTATAAGAAAAAAGTTTTGAGAAAAAGTGCGACGTTTTTATAAAGAATTGTTTTGCATAAGAAAATTTAATTGCTTAAGAATAACGGCTTAGATAGACTCGTGGGCTAAGCTGTAACAGAATGCGACTCTTGTCAGCAGGCTCAAACCAAAGCAAGAATTACATTTAACTGAAACGACCTCAACACCACTGTGCTTGTTAGCAGATATAATGGTTATGCTTAGTTCTGTTAATGGCTATAACAACGTGTTGGTGATCTGTGGATAGACACTCGCGCTATGTATGGGTGAAACTTTTAGATAAAGTTAGTGCCAGTTTCGTTCTGGAGGGCTTTAAAGATATATGTGTCAGGTTCCAAAAAACGCGTTACTTTTATTAGACAATCGTAATTTTTCTAAAGGAGGCGGGGATAAAGGCACAAGTTGTTGCCGTGAAATACCACCAGTCCAACGGTATAGGTGAAAGAGCCGCCCAAACTCTTCTAAAAGGCCCTCGCAAAAACAAGTTAATTGTCGGAAGAAAATGGGACCTCAATTGCTGAATAATTATATTTATAAGCACAACAGAATTTGCAATGTCTTAAGAGCTATTCCTTTTTACATGATGACAAAGGAAGTTTCAGGGTCAGAAGAAATAAAAGGTGCCCAGAACCCTAGCAATAGTAGTACTGATAAGTTGAGCAGTCACGGTAAGGCATTAGACAACGTACGCAAAAATTGAAAATGGACATAAAAAGGCGGCGCGATATCGAGTTATCAATAAGGATGCCATGGGAGACAGAGTATACGTTGAATACCCAGAAAGTAAAACAAAGGGTGAAGATTATACAGACCTGTGAAGGTAGCAGAGGTACTTAAAAATGGTGTATAAACAAAGTATTCGGGAAAGCATGTTAAGACACAGTTAAAGATAAGAAACGGGATCACTTTGATCATAGATACGACCTGAGGCGTCTAGGCAGTAAATTTTCGTGAGTGAAGTGTTAAATAGAGGCCGCAAAAGCAAAAACGGAAGAAAATTAAAGAAGAAAGTATTTAGTAAAATCAAGGGTCGAAACTGGCTTGGTCGTGTTTCGGCGCCGATGGATGGGTTAATTTTATTTTAGAAGGCTTAGAGCCGTTCATGGTTCATACTTAAGGAGTTGACGCCGCCATGGAGCAGCTTGTAGTTAGCAAGAACAATTTGCAAATATTAGCAGCATGTAGGCTACTAAATAGCGAAGAAGATAGATCTTTGATTCGGAAACAGCACTTAGTATAGAACATTAGGGCATATTCTTTTCTGTTTATCCTTTAACCTCTTTGCTTAGCGTCAATTATTTAAGGTAGGTTGCCTTTGTTTAGTTCTGAGTTACAATTATTATGTGGCCTAAAATAAGTATGTAACTGGCAACATCGAATTTTGAGTTAATTTTAAAATATAATGTAAAGTTGATCATATCTGTTACTAATTTTCATATATACTAGGCATAAAGTCACCTTAAAAATGTAATTTTATAAAAAACAAGTAAGTTAAGTTGTTGCATTTTTTCTAGTAAGAATTCTATTCGCGATAAATTAACTGTATTTTATTTCCTCAGAAGATTCATAGCATCACTTTAAACACTAACTTAAGTTCCTTATAAATTAAAAGTACTGCGAAATAGAAAGGCAGTCTGATGGTGTTAGTTCCATTAAAACTTACATCTGTCAGCGGCCGAGTTAACTTAATTATCTGTACAACTAAACTGTATCTTTTTTCGATTCTTATGAAGACATGGGCCTCAGCTTTTTTAAAATTACTATAAAAATTTTAATTTATTTATGTAAAAACAAAATTTTTACGAGGAATTATAAACTGCTCATAAAATCCGTTGTTAAAGTATCTTCGACAAGGTAACAAAACTCGCAGTCCTTTACATTAAACAGTTAACAATGGGCCTTATTGAAATATATTTACTGTCAGTGTAAGTATATTAATAATAATTTTTGTAACTAAATGATCTACTATTCCCTTTTTCAATAAATGAAGTCATACTAGTTATAATTTTTTTTAACAGTATTAGTTAATCTAATAATTCTAAGTAACATTTTATACCTAACCCTAGTAGCAATTGAAAAAGTTATTATTATTATGTTTGCTTGTCGCACCAGCGACTAATACTACGCAATAGAAAATTGTTAATTTTAGTGCAAAGATCTATATAAAAATGAAAAGTACAACCACCAAAGTTAAAAGCTTAGGATAACCAACTTTCGGTTAAAAAATACGAATATACGTAGTAAAACCCCAATTTTTAATGTTAAAAGTTAGTTAAGTCTCAGGAAGACTCGTCCAAAATAGTATTGCTATTTTTTTTACTCGCAAACTCACTTCACGAACACTCGAAGTGAAAGAATAAAAGGTTAACTAATAAAAGTTTTTTAGTGTATAACTCGAGAGAATTATCTAAAACTATCACGTAGATACAGTTTATACTTTGTAAAGTGATATTTTTATAAATGTATACAAAATAACTTTTCTTTTGTTTAAGGTTTGTGTTAAAAACTAGTTAGAGTTTAAAAAATATAAAAACTAACTGAGGCTAAAGAAAGGTTACGGCATTTTTCGGGTAAAGTACTTTTCCTCAACTTCTAAAAAATTTGGCTTCCTTTTTTCTCACCATGAAGGGTCTCTGCGGTAATTTCTCAATAATTTTTCTAAAGTAAAACAAAAATATTATTTAAAAAAAGAAGTTGATCAGGGTTAAGAGTAGTAACTCTCCGAAGATCAATATTATTAGACAACGAAATGTGCGAAAGGTAGCCACATACTACAAACCCCGAAATATAAGGGGGATTTTTTCAGGATGCTAGCATTTAGCTCTTTTTTATGATTTAATATTTTTTTCCTATGGAAGGTTTTTTTTTGGTCGCCGTCAGTAATGGATGTTAGGATGACTCGAATAATAGATTTCTTATATATATAAAGAAAAAGTTTAACAATATTAAAAAGCAACTGCTTTTCTTCAAATCTTTTGCTACTTTAAATTTCATCTCTTTGTTAACTTCCTTTTATACTTCTTTGCTTTCCTTAGTTTTCTTAAAAATAACCTGTAGAAATTTTAACTGTAACAATTCGTGCACAAGTATTTAAACAAGGATTAAAAAGTTGTGCGTGCGTGAGCCGTAAACCTTCCATTCACTTAATAAAATTCTTAGGCAACTATAATGGATCCTCCGCGTTTTAAAAATAAATATAATTAGCTTGGAATTTAAAAATTCTCTCCTCCGCCTTTAAAATAAAACAAGGGAACGTAGGGGAAAAAAAACACGATAAATTGATCGCTAAGTGTTTTAATATATTGTCTTCTACTTTATTAAGAAAAAGCCTACAACTTTTTTAAATTATTTTTTTTATATTATAAAACATATACGAGACCAATTTTATTATATTATTTGACAGTGGTGCGACAGCGTTCAGCTTCTTTATGCATTTTCTCCCTCATTTCCATTATAGGACCTGTATAATTATAAATAACAGTTAACTAAACGCAAAAATTAGTTAGATATATTTAAAGTTTGTAAACCATTAGCTTCAGTTAAATTTTTTTTTTAATAATATCTGTATATCACTATTCTGATAAATGTTAAAAATTAAAAAAAAATTGATAACTAAAAGCTCACAAAGATTTAACAAATACCTAGTAACCTCAAAAATATTTATACTTTACTTTGAATTAATAAAAATCCACAAAAGATAAGTGGAATCGAAAAAGACGAGTTTATAATATTTATAAAAAGCAATAAGCTTATTATATAAGCTCTTTGTAACATAAATTGTTTTAATATTTATGTATATATTAAGGTAGAAGTATTGCCTTCATACTGAAAAGCCGACACAATGGCTTGGTAAAGCTTTCGATAAGAAGCACCGGAACCTTGAGATGTGTACTTATAAAAAAACTGCATACTCGTTTGCATCCTCTTTGTCTCAGGTATTATTTTAGGCATCTTAACATTTTAATAATATTATTAATTAAGCAGTATCATATTGTATACCTGTAACTTACTGTACCACTTTAGTGCGTCTTCTGTTTAATTTTACAACTGATACTTTTACATAAGGACGGGCATTTTCAAGAGCTTTTAATAAAACTTCTCTCGGTGGAATACCTTTAAAGGGACAAGAATCGCCTTATAAAAATATATGGACCATTCTAAAAAAAACAAATAGGGGGAGGTATTATAAAAACAGATAGAACACCTTCTTTTACTTGTTGTTTCTGGATTAAATTTAGAGCTTTAGTAACAACCTCTCGAGCCTTACCCTTTTCACCATGCCTCATGATTATATTAATAAATTTTTCAATTCTGGGATCTCTAGTTAAACCGTCTTCATGAGGAATAGCGAGATTTTTAAGATGCTTCATAAATCTTCCGTGGACCAAAATGCGAGGTGTCCCGAAACGATATAAATAAGCACTATAAGTTACAATATTTTTAGCTACAAAAAGAGAAAATCTCATGGCTAACGAAGCGTCAAGGCGCTACATGAATTCACGAAAAGTTATTGTTTTTCCCTTCAGGTGACCTTAACTCCACATAAGCAATATAAGGAACGAGCAACCTCGTGCATCTTGGTCGCCTGTAGTGTGGCATGCGCATTTATAAGCCGCCTTGTTAGTTGAAAGGGGGTCTCAGTAGGGAATAATCATGCAATCAGGCAAGTTTAAATATGACCTTAACCTAATACATCTAGATATAATCAACTTTGTACGTGTAATACCTTTATTCTGAATAAAAGGTAAGTAAATTTCTGGAGCTTAAAAAATAAGATCGCCGGTTTCTTTTAATATTTGGCAATTAAAAATTCATTCTCTATTGACTAAATTTTTCTTATTTTAGAGTTCACGTTATGAGCAAGAATTAAAAAAAAATCGTTTAATTAAAATTCTGTTGAAAAGTACAAATTGTGCAAGTGTAACATTAATATTCATTACAAGCTAAGGTTACAGGGGAAAAGAGTCTCTCGCTCAAGTTTTCTCACCGTAATATTGGTCAAAATTATTTTTTTTCTTTAATTAAAAAAGTCAAATTCGAATTGACTGAATCCGAAGCATTACCAAGTAGCATGTTTCTTAACGAGGTCGAAATCAAGTGAGCCATCAAAGCTGCTTAAATATTCTGGAATTTAAGCCAACAGTAGAAAGGGATTCATTGGAACTACTTGAGATGAACATTAAAAAAAAATGTTATCAACTCTCTAAAAGGTAGAACCAATATTATAATTAAACAATTAATGTCATCTGGTAAATCAATATATAAGAAGTAAAAAGTTGAATCGGATCATGAATGTCTTACCAAATAATAGTAACAGAAAACTTTTTAGTCTTTTACTTGTATTAAAGTCCACGATAGGGAACAAGATAAAATTTATCAATTACCAACTCAATATCAGACCATGCTAAAGGTCTTATTTAGTGTTAACAATAAATACAGAAACAAGGACTTAAGAGCCTTCTCTTATAAAAGAATTTTGTTTACTGTGGCAGGCTACGGCTTAGAGAAAAGGGTGCTTTTTATAAATTAATGAAGTTACAAGTGTGGAAAGTTTCTCACTTTAAAGAAAAATGCAAAACAATAGTAAGCTTTACCCAAACTAACAAAAGCATATACCTAGAGTAAATGAACATACAAAAGAAGAAACGCAAAAGTTATCAGCCAAAAAAGTTTAACTTAAGGCTTGGGCAGAGAACTAATGCATATGTTTATTTGTTAAAAATAAAATAGAAGGTGAAAGGACGCCTTTAAAAAAGTCAAGCTTAGTTACTAACTAGACTAAATATAAATATACCGTGTTTATTAAATATATGAGGCGTGGGGACCCGACTGGCAGTGGCGCTGACCAGTGTCTCCATCCGGCTTCGGATCCTTACGCCTAAGGCTACCTCCCCCGGTGATGGTTTTTAGCAGGATTCCACCACAGCAGACAGGATGGCGGGAGTCTGGGCCCGATTTTTTCCGCTTTTTCAGTCTTTGGGACAGTCATTATAGCTTTATAAAGAGCGTACACTGGTAGGCACTCGTGACCCAACCCCTGCAGGAGAGGTGAGTTTAGATTAAGCCTTTTAAGGTTTGAAGAGGCCGTGGTATGCCAGTGCTAATATATATATATGTATGTATATGACAATAGCTAGTCAACACTTTTTGATTAAGACAGGGCATGCATGATTATTTTATTTTTCCCGTTTTGGTAGTAATGGAGTACGAGAGATATATTCGAGTTCTTTGATATTGTATTTCGTAACCTATGTTTTCGAAGTTAATTAATATAAGTGGGATGAAAAACTCATTCATTTAGCATTGTATCCGAGAAAAAAATCTTCCAAATGTTACTCCTTTGAGTGATTTGCTTGCAGGTAATTAAAACTTGTGATATTAATGTTTATTTCATTTGAAAAGTAATATAAATCTTTGCAATTATTTTCCGTAGTAAAAGGGAATTTATAAGTAAAGCTTTCGGCCCCAAAAATTGTTATTTTGTTTTTCTTTAGCCAAAAAATTAGTCTATAAAAGTGAAAATAAAATTTTTGGAGTACCTGGGAGAATTTGCGTTTGTTAGTATTATTACTAATGTAATTGTTCTTTGTAATAATATGAAAATTGTGTTATTATATTCGTGTTAAATTCCACACCGCTTATTAGAATAGATAACGCATATTTACTAATATAAAATTGTTATTAGTAAAATTTAAGCTCTCCTATTATAATTTTATGTATTGTATACATTAACTCTGTTTTTTCTCTCCCTCTCTTTAGTGTGTGTGCAACTAGTTATATACTAACAACAACTTAATTATAGGCTACCACGTCTAACAGATTAACATCTAACTACGTTCTTCCATAGCGCACCTCCAATAATAAGTAGTATGAAGTCTGTTGAAAACTAGACAGATAGGAATAACTACTTCTATACCTACCTGATAGGTGTAGCGGCTATTCGGTTTGGCGATAAGATGGGACCCATATTAGTATGGATTGCTTTCATATATGGCGTTGACCTGAGTTCCGAAGAGCTGGGTAGCTATATGGAAGCCTGATTAATTATGGAGTGTGTTTCGTACAAAAAAGTTTAATGATTTCACGTGATTCATTTTTTTGGCTTTAATGCGAACATGAAAAAAACTTGAAAGATGTAGACTTTAGTTTAAAATAGGGATACTTTAATGTCTTTAGCTCCAGATCGAGCACCGTAAAAGTGTACGAGATTTAGCGAAAGATAGAAGCTAACTAAGCAGAAGACTTTATTGTTCTGGTTTTAAAATAGGTTTTGAGTAGTTGTACTCTCTGCAACTAGGAACTGTTTCGAACTCTTTTATAAAAACAACAAGAAAAGGAAACTTTGCGTTCATATACAGTGAAAAAGCGAAAGCTAAAATTAAAGATTCCTTTTAGCGGCACAGGAGGAGGATTGTTTATTTAATTACAAACAAGTGTTAGACAGTAGGACACGGGTTAATTTCACTTTCTTTTCTAAAATCGTTATATAGATCTTGAATCTACTTCTCCTATGATTTTCTTTGAACTTTAGTCAAAAGCAATATTTATATTCTCCACAAGGCTTACGCCTGACGATATCCCTGAGGAGTTAATGACACAATTTTATCAAACACTATTCCCTAGTGTAAGAGAGGGATCCTTACCACCATTAAAAAAAGGTAAAGAGCATAACAGAGAATATTTATTTGGATTGAAATGAGTTATAAAAAAAGTATGCGACGGGCAAAGGAGACAAAGGAATACTTGAAAGGGCACAATAACATCCAGAAGCGGATTCCTTAGTTAAACTGTGTACATATAACTATAAAGCTACGTCAACCCGAGGCTTCAGTCCTTTGGTGTTGGCGCTAGCTAATTCAATGACTTTTTCTTGCTTTCTCTATAGTGTTAAGTTAGAGACGCTATAGTTAATCATTAAGAACGCGTACTAGAGCTACAAACTCTTTTACAGTTATTAATTATGCAAGAAGAATGTAGAATATAATCATAGGCAGTTTTTAATTATCGTAAAACCAACAAAAAATTATAGGCTGTTATACACAAAAAGAGTTATGGACCGATTTTGATGTCAGGGATTGTTTTTAAAATTTTGGGTCAAACTCATTTAATAATAAAGGTTATATAAAAATAAGATCCTTGGTTTTCATAAAAAATGTAAGAAGGTTGAGTAAACATAAACTAAATTCAAGTAACTATTCAAGAGCTTTTAATGACTTTGAAAAGACTGATCTTAGCTTTTTTTAGGAGTTTGCCAAGTTCATAAAAAAGGTTTTTCGAGAAAATGAACCCTTTAGTTCGCTTGCTTTAACTATTTGTCGCTAATAATCGATCCCATCTCTTTTTAAATTAATTTTGACAATATAATGAAGAAATTTCTAAGTAATTATTTTTTATGAACTTATGATCTCCGCCTAAAAAAATTTTATTCTTTCAATGAAGCCATGTAGACAGATATATTTTATGATTTTATACTCCGACTTGTGGGTCATTATGGAAGCGTCAGGATGAATGATTGGTTATTTTAATTTAAAAGGGGTCATTACAAACGAAAAACGGAATTCCTATAGGAAATTCAACCTCCCCAGTATAGCCAAGTTATAGGTGGCTTACTAGGGGGCTTGAAATTAAATTCTACAAGAAAATCCTAAATAATTCTTTAATTTATAATGAAGTAAAACGCTGGCCAACTTTAGTAGTATTCCTGGTTAATGAACTAAAGAAATACAATTCCTGGGTATTGGCATATACACGAATGGTCCAAATATTTGGACGTCGGTTTGAAGGATACTAACCAGCTTACTCTTTAGAAATTGTAAAGAAAATCAGAAGTATGTCATTTGTAGTATAAATTATTGAGCTCGTTTACTAAGAGAGGTCATACCCTAGTAGTGATGGCTAATTTATCCTTAATTGGCGATTTTCAGGAAGGTAACCTTCCACTTGGAACAGGAGTTGACTTAATACTAGGAAAACCCAACTTAGAAATTTTTTGTTTCGAATAGCGAGTCTCCTTGATCTAGATCGTGATGGAGAAACGATATCAAAAGAATATAACTAAGGTGGAGGTCTGTTTTGACAAAAGAGCGCAGATGGTATAGAGATCACCAAATTTGATGATGTGGAAAGTTGTTAGTAGCGTTATGAAATTGGCACCGTTGCAAGTCAAATTTTCATGAAAACACCTAGCCAGCCCTGTCTAAATACGAAAATAAGAATAAAACAAAGACCAAGGTCGGCTTGCAAATAGTGTGAGAAAATATTTAAGGCAGGATATATAGAGGAAACAGGAAAAGTAAGTATTTTACAGAGGTGCTAGCCCAAAAAAAATACAGCACGTACCAGCGAAATTTATAAAAATGTGTGCCGCCTTACAAGGGTTAAATGACAGGTGTGTAGTGGAAAGATACCGGGCACCGATGAGAGGGATATTAATATTTCTAAGAAGTAAATGTTAGATAAAAAGCGGTTAGGCCTCTATGAAGATAATCAAGCGCGTTAAAA